ATCCAGAGGTGAGCATGTGGTAAGCTCCTTGAGTAGAAATGGTTGATACAATTGCAATGAACGCACTTTGTTTCCATTTAGATGCACTACATTTGATGAAGCAAACCTGAGACATTAGGTGTCACAATCTTTTGACTGTGATGTGCTGAATTTAGAATGTGTTAGGATCAAAATGATGTCATTTTAATATAATTTTTATATCAGTCATTACTCACAGTATTCAGTTTTTGCATCAGAATAGACCAGCACTACAGACCAAAACATCAAAAGGTTTAGAACAGTGTTTCTCAAAGTGGTCCGCAGACCCACTCTGAGAAAGCTGTTACCAGGCCGCTCAGGTTTGTTTACTTACAGGCTATGTAGTCAGAGAACCTCTTGGCTCCTTGGCTGCGGTTCGCTGTTTGCAGCCAACAGGAGTCACGGGAAGCAGTGAGACCCAAGCCACTGCTTCTCATGGCTCCCCTGGGCTGCAAACTACAAACTGCAGCCAATGGAAACCGTGAGGCCCTGTGGCTGCGGAGCCGTTAATTGAACCACCTGGAGTGTCCTGGTAGCAGTTTTCTCAGGGTAGGTCCGCAGACCACTTTGAGAAACCCTGGTTTAGAAGAAAGGTATAAAATGAAGAAATATAGAGCAACTATAGGTGTGGTTAGTAAGTATGACTGACGTTATGATTATCCTGAAGGCTTTTTTCTGTAGAAAAAAATGTAGTCAAGAGTCTTTCTGTGACCTTGCCCTGTTCAAGATTTCTTTAGGAATGCAGAAGATGTGATAGGTGGTAATCATGAAATAGAAAATATTGATTACTAAATAAAAAGGGCAACTTTCAGAAAAATGTATTCTGTACATAATTTTACTAAGGTAGTTATTGAATAGTTCAGGCAATTTTTACCCATTAATGTGAACTTTTCAAGTATTTTGTTTTTTAAACTAGGAACTCAGTGGAATAAAACTAGAATTTAAAATTATGTGCAGTCTCTTGTTTACGTAAACTGTGCCTGCTTGATAATATCTGTGTATTAGCTATAGTACGCTAAAATCTTTTCATCTATTTAAAATGAAACAGCTAGTTTGAAAATCATATTTATTTTAAAATATTGTGCATTTGTCCAAATAAAACCTGAGAGAGTGGATTTCATTGTATTTTCTCTACGTATCTGATAGCAATTTGTGTAAAGTAAGTTTCACATTTTCCCCTGTAAAGTCAGTATTTTCCTTGCAGACACCCTAAGCCATCAAGAAAAAAAAAGGAAATAACCCCTTTTTTAAAGAATATTTTTTTAAAAAAGCAAGGAAACCTGTATAACAGTACATTATGGAAGCTTGAATTTTTTATAATATTCAATTATTTTAAAAATGTAATTGTACTGTTATATCTTCAGATATAATTTTGTTTCTGTCCTTTTGAAGATTTTCCTTTTGTGCTTCAGGTCCAATCTCATGCCATTTATTTGAGGACAAAAACGTCACTTTAAAATTAAAATCTTAGGCAAGTTTTTTTCCTTTTTGTAATAATACTTTGTTCCTTGTGTACATACAGTTTCTATCAGGAAGGATCCAAAAAGATATATAGATTATGGGTGTGGTTTGGGCATCAGAGCCTAGGTATGTAAGTGACTAGTCAAGTCACTTAAAAGCCGGTTCCCCCCCAGCACCGTCTCTGCAGCAGGGAGGGACAGGAGAGACAGAGGTAGAAATGGCAGAGCGTGGATTGAAGCAGAGGGGCAGTGGGGAACCCCTGTGAGTGGGGACCGCCTTATGCGCCTCTGCCTTTGGCTCCTGTACATTTCAAAGGGAGAGGTGCATCAGTCGGGACCACATGTGAGAAGGGACTGTTTCGGTCCCTGCTTGTGTGGGTTCCCCGCTCCGCCTCTTCCTTCCAGGCAGCTCTTGTCCATTTCAAAAGGAAAGACGCAGTGGTATAGCAAGTGCCCCCCTTATCAACTAATTGAGTAGTGGATGGAAATTCTGTTTACTACTCAATTCACCGATTAATTGAAATTTAATGTCTATATTCTCAGGACACAACACTATTAAATTATATTTAAAATTATGAGAATGTTAAGTCTTATCTGAAAGATTGCATTTTCTGCTGAGTTTGGTTTCCTAATCTCAATCTGGTATATTGGTTTTCAATGGGGCAGCCCACATAATGCTTTATTAGAAAGATTAAATTAGTTAACACAGAAAAAAGGCAATGTTTATGTTAGCCTAACTTGGAAAACATTGGATTTTTTTTAAATTGAGTGATTATCTCTGATCCAGTTTCACTATATATAAAAATGTGGATAACAGTAATCCTAGATAAGGATGTTAAGAACTAGTCAATCGACTAGTCGATTCCCCTCCCTCCCTTGCTGCCTCTATCAGATAGAGGCAGCAAAGGGAGGGGAAGACGAGGTACTTCAAAGCGGCAGCGCTGCACAGCTGAGCTCGGGATCACCTGTGTGGCACTGCTCCTTTGAAACGTCACCTTGGCGTTTCAAAGCGGCAGTGCCATACAGAGCCTGGGTTCAGCTGGAGACTCCCCCGGCAGATCCCGGGCTTCGCTCGGCATTTCAGTGGAACTCAGGATCAACTGGGCAGTCCCCAACTGACCACGGTTCTGGGGAAATGCTGCATGGAGCCCACGGTCAGCCGGGCAGACCCCAGCTGATCCTAGGTTCTGCTGAAATGCTGCATGAAGCCTGGGATCACCTGGGGAGTCCCCAGCTGACCGCAGACTCCACATGGCATTTCAAATTGGCAGCACAGCATGAAGCCTTTGGTCCCCCACTGAGGCCACTTTCGCTGTGAAATGTACAAGAGCCCCCACTGAGGACTCTTGTACATTTCAAAGCTGGCCCACATGTAGCTCAGAGTCAGCGGGACTTCCCACTGGCCCCCGGCTGCAGTCGGAGTTCCTCATTCCTCCTTTGAAATGTACAAGAGCCCCAGCATGGGCTCTTGTACATTTCAAAGGAAGAATGTGGAAGTGCCTATCGAGTAGTCGATGGAAATTCCATTGACTACTCGACTAGTAATTTAACCACTAGTTAAATCCATAACCCTAGAAAGGTATTGAGACAAGCTATCAATGTTTAGAAAGTGAGATTATTTTTTTAAATACATACCTGAAGAAATTTGGATTTGTCTTCACTGTTCCCTCCTCTGTACTTAGTTTTCTGGTGGTTTAGAAATGCTCTGCAAAATAAAAACATGTTTTAATTTTCTCTCTGTCAGCAGGGCTAGATATGCTACAGTTTGCACTGCTGAGGGTTGAGATTCTCTCACTAGTCAAAAAGGAACAGTCTGTTTAACTTCAGGAACAGGGATGGCTCCAAAATGAGTCTTTGGCTAGCAGTTTGGATGTAATACAATGTCTTTGGGACTGGGGATGTGACAGGGTCAGATTGCAGCAAGGATTTAGGAGAAGTGAGAAGAAATAATCTGTGTATCTTAAGTTTAGTCTGCACACAGTTTTTGTACTGGTGTAATTATTTGGTAAGGAGTGTGATTTATCTATTTAAACCAGAGCAGGTAAACCAATACAATTCTTTGTATGAATATAGTTATACAAATGTAAAAGTATCTTATACCATTGGTTCTCAACCAGTGGTATGTATACCTATGGGGTTTAGGAATGTGAACATGTCTCCGAGTATATGGTTAACTGATGAGCCTGGGCTCATGAGTTAACACTCACAATTATGAGTTAACCCTCACGCAGCCTCCCTTCCCTCCGCTGCACGGGAGAGAGCCGGCTTTTAAGCCGACACATACCTGCTCCTGCGGAGCCACCTACTCCTCCCTCCATGCTGCTCCCTCTGAAACAGAGGCAGCAGCGTGGTGGGGGGAAGAGGGAAGCTGGCTTTTAAACTGGGTCCCTGTGCGTACTGGCTCCTGCCAATCTAACTGCCCCCCACTTGCGCTACTGCCTCTGTATGCAGAGGGAGGGGGGGCATGTGAGCACCAACTCCCATGGAGCCACCTGTTCCCCTCTCCCCTGCCCCCGCACTGCTGCCTCTGATACAGAGGCCCCCCTGTCCCCCGCCCCCGCCCTGCTGCCTCTGATACAGAGGCAACAGTGCAGCGTGGAGGTTCTCAGGCAGAAGCCTGATTTTGGCACCAGCTCCATCCTGGCCTCCCCTCATATAAATGTGTAACTGCTGAAAATTTTCAACAGTTACACGTTTCCAAAAATAAATACATTTTAACATCCCTAGTAGGGATACCCAGAGGTCTTTCATGGTGTGAATCAGTTAATCTAGATAGGAAGCAACTATGCACCGTTCTAACTTATTGAGTAATGTAATGATGTAGATAGGTGCCCAAGCCTCTCTTACATGTGAACATTTAATATTACATAACAGTGATTTAATATATACGCTGTGTAATGATGACTTCTTTGTACGCTTCACACAGATGAGGTGAACAGACATGAAACTCAACCAAATTTCAGTTTTTTAGGCACACTCTGGCCACTAAAGTATATGATATTGGCATCATCTTATTCCACAGATCTATTTTCACCTAAGAAGTGTCTTATTTTAATGACAAATATTTAATTATATACTCCTATTAGAGCTGCTAAACCAATACAGCTTCTGGAGAGCAAGCTGTATACGTTGACTGGTACAGCAATAGAAACATTAGCAAAGTTGTGACTGAATAAGCTTTTAATTAGACCTTCAGTGGATCAGAATTTATGCTAGTGATTTAAAAGCCAGAGGTAACACATTCCTACTTTGAAATCTTTCAGTGAGCTGTTGCTCTTCTATAACAAAAAACAAAAGTAATCTAAGAAACATCAGAATTATAAGGAAGCCTTTGAAACACAAACATGGAACTATATGATGCCATTTCTACAGCAACGTTCAAAGCATAGACTCATTTTAAATTGGTTGCTGGGCTCACTTCAGCAACTGTAGCTATAATTGATTTATGTAAGCTATATTTGCCCCCAGATATTTTCATCTTTAAGGTTATAGATTTTAAGAATCTTCTTCTTTCTTTGACAGGAAATTTTGGTGATTAAAGATCATGGCAACCATAGAGGAACTGGCCCATCAAATTATTGAACAACAAATGGGAGAGGTACATATATATTTTAGTCCTGTTTGACATAAGTTGGACAATAAAGCATAACACTGACATGTAAATATCAAAGCCACAAGAGAGAATGGTCTCTAATGGACCCAAAACTCCAGAAGACCCTCCCATAGAAGATTAGCAAGAACCCCGTTCTTGTATCTTCACGTCGTAATGCAAAACTTGTATCTTTGTCAAAATATTTCCCAAAGAAACTGAGCTAGAAAAAATGTAGCAATATTTCCAAACGTAGAAATCATTGACTAAATCGGTGGTTCTGCAACTATGGGCTACTGGCTATCTTCATAGAGCTGTTTAGTCATATGGTGTAGGCTTTTCTAGCTGCAAACTTGCATTAAGATAGTTTGAAATGCACTTGTATAAGCAGTTGTTTTAATTGCTGTACCAGTGGTACACAATTTGAAAAGTGCAAGGATGCTTAGATGAACCAAAGAGAACAGAGAATGTATTCTTCTTGCTGGGAAGTTCTTGCTGTCGTCTTTAGTATGCATATAGTGCCAAGATATTGCAGTAATCATGCTTTTAGAAATTCATGACTAGATAGTAAAAATAAGTGTACCGAGAATGTTTGTATATTTACAATATACAACCCTTATGAATTCATTGCTATATATCCTGTTCAACATCTATACAAATGTGTTTATAAGAAAAGATAAAAAATTTGTCTGTTTACTTGAAATGTCTGCTCTTGGTTAATTTAGATTTTTCTTACTCTACAGACAAGTGAAGTATTCCAGGTGATTTCAAGCTCAATTCAAAAAAGATGTAAATTGAGTTTAATAGAAGGCTTTCCCTCTTGGATTGTTTTTTTATATATGTTCTTACACTACCCTCATCATTGTAGTATCTAAGGGTATGTCTACACTACCACCCTAGATCGAACTAGGGTGGTAATGTAGGCAACCGGAGTTGCAAATGAAGCCCGGGATTTGAATTTCCCGGGCTTCATTTGCATATAGCCGGGCGCCGCCATTTTTAAATGTCTGCTAGTGCGGACTCCGTGCCGCGCGGCTACACGCGGCACGGACTAGGTAGTTCGGACTAGGCTTCCTATTCCGAACTACCGTTACTCCTCGTGCGAACTACCTAGTCCGTGCCGCGTGTAGCCGCGCGGCACGGAGTCCGCACTAGCGGACATTTAAAAATGGCGGCGCCCGGCTATATGCAAATGAAGCCCGGGAAATTCAAATCCCGGGCTTCATTTGCAACTCCGGTTGCCTACATTACCACCCTAGTTCGAACTAGGGTGGTAGTGTAGACATACCCTAAGTGCCTTCCAAAGTGCATTAAGTGGCATGACCAACATCTGTCATGTGTGGTTTCTCTTTCTGTTATCCTCTTCCCAGAAGGATAAATATGTATGCAGAGTATTGTGTGTGTTTGTATAGTTTCATTACAGGAGGATTTTGAAGGGGGTTGGCTTATTTTTGTTTGGAGGTACACCCTGGTTAAATGCTTATATTAGAAAAGGCAGGTTGAAGAAGTACCTTGCCCTTTGACCTTAGCAACTGTGGGAGTTTGTTTCATAGTCTTGGGCCAGGCCTGACAGGCTTTATCCTTATGTTAGCAAGTTCCATTGTGTCTGAGGTTTGGAGATGTCCATCAATTTCAGTCTTCATCCAGGAGCTTTGGTAAATCTTTTAGTATCCTGGCACCAGACTATTGAGTGCCATGGACTTAAGTATTGGGACTTCGAGTTTGACTCCAGAATTTAGTCAGTCTGTGAAATTTTTTTTTTAAATCTCAGATCACCGAGATACCCTTTTCATAGTATCACTAAAATTTATATCCAATCTGAAAACAGCAACAAAAGCCAAACTGTCAACTGGCGGGAAGGGAGAGCAAGCCAGCCAAGCAGCTTGTCTCCCTTTTCTTCTTCTGTGGAGAGGCCACTTTAATTAGAACTAGAAGTTTTATCTGGTGTTGCCCGGGTCCTTAACTGAAATAAATTTTGTTTTTCTTCATCAAAATCATTGCTCTGGGTTGAGGCTGGGGATGAGGAGTTCGGTATGCAAGCTGCCCCAGGGAGAGAGGACAACCCCAGCCCCCTCTCTCACCACAGCAGTTTGGGGCCAGGTGAGAAGCGCTTGTCCATGATTGCTGCAGCAGGCACAGCCGGGGGAAGGGTACATTGACCCCCAACTGGGGGACAGATAGGCAGACAGACAGACAAACTCTCTGAAATATATAGTAGAATAGCTGTCCCTCTCTCTACCTCTGCTGGCCTAATTGGGTTATAGCTGTTGCAGTCCCTATCTCTGCCCTTTGCTGCCTCCCCCCCTCGTGGTCATTCTGCAGTATAACTGTCCCTCCTGCCAGATCTCTTCCTTTCCATTTTATGAAAAACAATAAAATTCCAGGTGTATGCCATAGTCCTGGCACAATCAAACGCTTGCCTTGCTTTAGGTGATAAGAGGAAGCTACAAACCAAATTTGGTGGCCCTGTTTCTTACCGTTGGGGAGGAAATTGTGGACAAACGGACTAATGGATGGACGAACGGACGCCCATTTCTAAAATATATAGTAAGAGAGCAGGCCCTCCTGCTCTTCCTGACAGAGTTCTGGCATGCTATTTCCATGTCACTTCTTGTATTTTAGTTTTAGTAAGATCACAGCTGTCTTCCTTTATAGCTCAGTTAAAGTAGAAAGGAAGCAATTGTGCTGCTTGCACCTTACCTGGTAATCTCTCTTCTTAAACTTGAATGGATTTGATTGCCTTGGTATGTGAAATGGGTGGTATTTGTTTCTGACCCCTAACATGTTATCAGTAGGTCCAAACAGGCTCGTATATTGCTGCACCCGTAACGTGTTATCAATAGGTCCAAACAGGCTCGTATATTGCTGCTACAGCTTCCCTTTGTGAAGATAGACTTTTAGCATATTAAGCAGGTGGGGCCAAAGAGATTTCTCTCTTGAGGATTTCCAGATACCAATAACTTAACCTTTTTTGTCCAGTTTTAACTACCATGGTTAAATAACTGTTTCTCTGTTGTTGAGAAAATGGTGTTGGCACCTGTGATGGGGCAGACAAGCCCCGTACTGAAGGGCGGAGGACAGCCCAGGCCCAGCTGGCGGAAGAGGCCCCTGCATGAGAGAGGGCAGGAGGAGGGTGGAAGGGAGCAGGCAGCAACCCCAGTGTTTGTGCCGCAGCTGAGGCCAGAGATAGAGCCCGCAACAGAGTCCGGGAGTAAAGCCAGCAGCCAACCCCCTCCTGAGAGGCCGGAGCGCCCACAACCCTGGCAAGTACTGACTCAGAGGCAAATAGACTACAGGGGTGGCAGGGCGTGGCAGGAAGCAGCCCAGGGCAAAGGACTGTTAGTACGACTCGGTGTGTATCGGCCGGATTCCCCGCCAAGCAGGCAGGAGCCATAATCCCTGCCTAGAGGGCCCTGGGCTGGGACCTGGTGGAGAGGGAGGGCCTGGGTCCCCCCCACCACCCATTTTCTTACCCTGGACAATCAATCCCTGACCCAGGAGAGGTTTCTCTGGGCGGCTAGTCAGTAGAGGGGCACTGACTTTGGAGACTAGGCTGCTAGAGCAGTATTTCCCCCGGTAGAGGGGCACTGACTTTGGGACTAGGCTGCTAGAGCCGTATTTACCCCGGTAGAGGGGCATTGACTTGGGGGCACAGTCGAGGGGAGGGACAAGCCCCTCTACTGTGCCAATATGAAAGAGCCTAGATTTACTGAAGCAACTTCAGTTATGTCTTGATCTTGTAGCTGTATCTTGCTAGTCTGTGTCTGATGTGACTGGTATGGAGACTATGCTGATATCTATGGCTGACTACCCACTACCAGTGAATGACACGTATATAAAAATATCCTGTGCTGCTTTTGACCAATCATCATTTTTGATAATGTTGATCATGAAGTGATCTGTGTACAGAGTTTTCTGGTAGATGATGACAAGGATATTCTGTGCATTACTCTGGAAGGTCTCAGAGTATCTGAGTATTTGTTCTTCCTCCTTAGATCACTTGATATGAGGCTCTATTTTGTTATTTTTTCTATTGAGTGCGTATTTATGATGGTAAGGGAAATAGTAAGGAGATTTATCCATGTAGAAGATGACCTATATTTTCCTTTTGTTATATCCAGATGCAGCAATATATGTTGTATTTCCAATGTCTGAAAGAGGTGAAGTAGATAGGGGCAAACTGACATCAGAGTCAGTACTAACAGAGGGAAATATCTTGAAAAATGAACTCAATGCATAAGTCAGTGCATCTCCTGGCTACCCTGGCAATGCCTCTTCCCAACCTGTGTGATCCACTCTTTGGGCTCCATCGGCTCCCTGGGGGCCACTTTTTGCTACCCCAAACTCCACACCATCAGATTTATTTCTGTCAGGAGATGTAAAATAACTTAAAAGCAGAAGCTATTGAGTCAATGGAGCACCTTCCAATTGGATGAGTTTCTGGTAGGGTCAGGGTCTCCCCTCTCCCCCCTCCTCCATCTCAGTTTGGAGCTTGGAAGGATCCCAATGGAGGAACCTAAAGCTTTGTTTGTACAGAGAGCTTCTGTAGCTTGGTACTCACTGGTACTAAATCTCCAGCTACTGCAGGCATAGGTGACTATATGAAAAGTGAGTCATATTCTCTGTAATTCCAGCTCTCCAGGTCCTACAGAATGACCCAAGTCCCATTGTCCAGCTGGTGGCAACTCAGGTCCTAAGAGACATCTGACCTGGATGAGTGCTCGGGGAATGAAGCACAGACAAATAGAACGAAGAGCTCCTGCTACCTTGTCACATCCATTGCTTCAGTGGGGATTTCTGGAGAACAATGTGCTCTGTCTGTGCCAGCTTCTGTTTCAGCTTGGTGGTATGCGGCCAGCTACAGTGACTGAACGATATATCTGCTAGCTCTCTATGGGGTAAGGGAGTAGTATAAGGGCCCTACCATCAATCAAACATTAGCCCCGCCCCCTGACCCTGGAAGTCCCCCCCCCCGACTCCCCGGAAGTCCCTTCTCCCTTGTCACTGGC